GGACAGCAGCACAATAAGTCCACAACTGCTCAGGGACGCCGGGTCGCTCAGACTCAGGACCCTGACACATTTATTTTGAAAGCCCTGTATTGAATTCTGTTTCCTCCTGTCTGTCATTGTTTCGCTTGTACCTCGATCAGATGATCCTCAGCGTGCCGTCTGTGCTTCCTCTCTCACGTGTTTGTCCGACTTTTGGACTTTTACTTGTTGATATTTGACGCAGGTCACTTTATACTGTCGGGTAAAGAGCCGAGAATAAAACAGAGAAACAAGCCAGCACTTGGTGACAGCGGGAAGGAAGAACTCCCTTTTGAGAGGAAGAAAACTCAGTCAGAAGCAGGCCGTCTGCTGTGACTGGGTGAGAGGAGGAAGGGTTAGTATGAAGCTGTTTGTTGTTGTCCTCAGAGGTCTTGTGTGAGGCCACGTCGGTGCTGTGGAGCGTCTGGATCTGAAGGCTGTGTTTGAGCACGGAAGCAGTTACTTTGGAAAGCAGCGACTATTCACCAAGGAATACCTGGAGTCCAGTAACGGATCTTCATTAGCAGCTCTTCCCATGCGTCGGTCTAAGAGCCGAACAGAAGAGCTCGGCTGTGAGAATCTAAGAGGAGCTTTGAGGCACCTCGGACACAAACGCCACATCGTTCGGACTTTACTGGACAATTCCCAGAAAAATCCATCCGCGGGCTCTGAGGGGCACACAGAGAGAAAGTGCTGTGTGTGTTAGAAACTCCTCCTCCTGCTGCTGGCGGCCCTCTGGGGGCCGGCAGGGGCCTCTGACACGGCGGCCCTGGGCCTGTTTCCTCCTAATCCGCCGTGTCCTTGGGCCACGCAGGTTTTGTGTCTAATGACTTGTTTTGTGGCCTAAGCAGCAGAGTTAAGCCCCGAGAACAAGAGCAGGCTGAACAATAATAAAAGAATCGATAATAAAAGCAGTTTAATCTGCCTCTTAATGTGACCGCGGCCGTCTAATCCACGTCTTCCCGGCTGTGCGGCTGCGCCGTGTTTTCCTGCGGGATGAGATGGTGTTTAATCGACTTTGGGAGAATTAGTCATTCCTTATTACCGTCGTGGTTTTTACAGGACTTTCCTGGAAAATCCCATTCAACACACATTTTAATTTCATTTCTGCGGCTCAATCATGTTGAGGGCAATGTAAATAATCCAATAACATTAATCATCATTCCTCTTCTCCAAAAATAGAGGCAGCAGCAGGCGGATTGGACGGCCGAGACGCTGCCGTTCACTCTCCTTTATTGGTTTTTAGAAGCTCTGATGGTTTTATGAAATGTCATCATGACCCCAATTTACTGAGCGTGAGCAGAACGTTCCCTCTGTTAATCCGAGGGGCGCCCGAGCGGCGGTGCTCGCCCTGTTTCCGCTTCCCCATGATCCAAAATCACATTTTCACCTGAAAGTCGGCTCCTTCGCCATCGACCGCTCCGTGTTTCTTCTTCCTGTTTCTAAAGTAATCCGTCGTCCACCAACACGAGCAGCTCGCCATGCGAGCTCGCCCCCAGCTGCAGGAAGTTCCAGTGGTTGTGCTACATGCTGCAGTTGCTGCACCTGTGCTCAGGTGTGTCTCGTCGTGATCAATCTCTGACGTCGTGCTCTGACGACTCATCGTGTTTTGATCGATGTGTTTAGCGGTCACGTTATTTTTAATCGATCTCCTTAAATAACTGCTGTCACTCCTGTTTGGGGTGCAGAAAGCGTTTCCCTCTGCGGCGACTCGGCGGCGGCGGCGTGCAGCAGGTCGTGACCGTGCAGCAGCTGCAGAGTGCAGATGATAATCGGAGCTGATGAGCTGCACACATGATAAGACATAAATAAGATTCAGCCTAATAAGGCTCAGAAAATAAGGCAGCTCAGTCCAGATGTCTAATCCACGCTGAAGCTGCGTCTTACCAGATGAAAGTGGAATCTTCTATCAATTATTATCCTAACATGCTGAATTATATCCGCAGAAATCCTTCAAATGATTCCCAATAATCCTCCTGATGGGATCACGTGACCCAGAGCACAGCGGCTCAGGAGCTCAGCGTTCTTACGATGGAGACGGGTTTTCATCCTGATGTCAGCACAAAAACTCAGAAGTCATCAGAAGAAGAAAAGGTCAAAGGTTAAACATTTAACCCTCTGCAGT